AATGTGAATAAACCCACTTTTGTCAACATTAAGTGGCATATTCCACGAAACAGTCCATTCGTACAACTTGTTTATTTCCTCTTGGATTACCGCTGAAATATAGCTTTCCTTTGTAGGAGAAGAGAATGAATATACTACTTTCAGGTCATCAGCAAATAGGAAAGGCTTACCATACTGAAAGAGGGAACACACGTCATTGATAAAAAGGTGAAAGAGTAATGGACCAACCACAATTCCTTGTATAACCCCACTGCTTACATTCACAGGTTTAGAGTAGCAAGATCCAAGGCGAACGATTTGGCTACGTTCTTCGAATTGGACAAGTAATTCCATTCATACTTGTTCATCCACTTTGCCTCATCAGTGTCTACCTCAACTTCCAATTTTCGATGTAGAAACAGGCTGAACGAAAGCTAGATGATACCAAACCAAAGCGTGACTTCAGCTCATAAATTTAACGACTATTGGTTAGACTCGATCGAGACGACATATATATTCGAGTGCCATAGTTTAGGACCAGCCATGGTGGTGATGGTACATTCATTTCTTATCTCCCTCCAGATGCTGAGTCCTAGGATTTCTTCCTCATGTCTTTTCATGCTGTTCTTTTTTCGAACCATATTTTCAATACTTTATATTCCTCATTGTTATTGCTATCACTATATTTAGACTTCACCGCTTCAAATTTCACGCTTAAACATAGACATCAATACTGGGATACAGTAACATCATTCAGTATTACTATGAGTTACAAATTTAATCGTGGTATCACAGATAATTCAAAGCATAATGAGAATTTAATTAGATAGCCATAGACCTACAGGCTGCTCAATTGCCAGGAAATGTTTTGGACAGATAGGTGATTTTAGTGACATTATTTACTCTGAAGAAGTCAGTTTAATTAAATAGCTTTCATCTTCAATCTAGATAGTGTTATCAGCGTTCAAATCATATGAAACAACAATGGATACTGAGCAGTTAAACCATTTGCATGAACATTTTCTGTTTACCTTATTTTTATACTGATAAGCCGAAAGATCTTTGAGGGATACATAGTACCATGAGTGAACAGTATATATATCACTGAAAGTTAGGTCATTTGTAAGTTAAGCATATCAATGTGGTCCCGGGTCGATAGAAAACGTTTGCACGCACAGTTGAAAGCTGAAATGATGAAATAATCCACCGCCAACTGACTAGAAGTAATTTTCCCATAGACTGTAAAATCTATATCTATATTAAGGCGACATACTACCCATATATGAGGCCAAAATATTGATAATTGACCAAATAATGGTCTTTTTCACTGAGAACATCATATTTTGAGTAGATGTATGACGAAGGAATGTTCTTATTGAAGACACCAAATAACAGTCAGACAGGATGAATGTATGCAAAGACGTGTGTTCCTCACGTTTGGCGTAACCTTGTCGATCTACACTGATAACCGACCACCCTTTCACCATCGTATTTGAATAGTTATTCTCTTTCAAGTTTATACACTGCGTTTTTCCCTGCTGATTTACTACCAGAATAATAAATCCGACAACAGATATAAGAAGTTGAGCAAACCTCCTGAACACTGATAATATTGTCGAACTTACCACATAACTGACAGAAGTTCAAATCAGTATCATAGACATGAGGTTAGGGTTGTAATCCTCTTGGTTACAACTTGTGTTCTCGTAGATAATCACATGAGCGACACCCACTGTTGTTCATCTTGTAAAGAATTATATAGCCGGAAGCATCGTGCAACGCCTCACCACTTATGTTTGTGGAAAAACAGTTTTGTCGATTTCAATGATTTTTAATCATTATATTTCCGATAATTCGTTTTCTACCTTATGGTTAATCTTATATTTGCAACGAACTTGGATGCATCATCAGCAGGTAGGCATGAATGTAAACAAATAGTCTATTTCATTATGTCTAGAGCATCTGTCATGACTACACTCATGTTTTAGTATCTGTCCAAAGTACACACGATTATCACTATTCTCACCTGAAAGAAGTTTTGATAATGATTCCTATATATTAGCAGTATTACTAAATTCCAACACGGTAATGTAATATTGAGGTCAACAAAATCTCCCCGTACCTGAACTAACTGTATCAAACTCAACAAACTGACTAACTGGTTAAAATTCCTCTTTTCCACGGTATTGTTTTGTTCTTTCAGCTGGCCTACTAATGCAAATGCAAATGAAATGCAACTCATGCGGTTAGCATGGCAACATAAACGTCAACTGACTTTCTAATTTGAACCAGAGGCAATAATAATATCGAAAATGATACAACAATGATTGTTTTCCTACTTCTAAACACAAAATAATTATACTACCCGTGAGTTAAGCCATAAAGAAATGAATGTCACTACGCATCTTACCGTCACTTGTTCAAATATTTCTACACGAAATCGTAGCATTGGTCAAAACCACGCAGTTCTCGAAGCTGAATGTGAAATAATTGGGAAAATGAATATTCAAAAATAACACACAGAGATGGCCAACAGTGGAGAACGCGAGAGTATTTAATTGAACTGAACCGGATAACATGGCTGAGCCTCGCAGACGTGGTCATTCTGTATAACTTGTCTTCACTCTCCATAAATATATTATTCTATATTTAGCCTAAACGTGTCCTTTACAAACTCGAAACATCATACTGTTAATTGTTACGATACGATGAGTCAGTGGAGACATTAATGTAACTTCCAAGAAGGTCTTATAGATTAGGTGGTCACATCATGACATATTTTTAATTATGGGATTAGGGCTATTGTTATAATGGTGCTAAGAACAAAGTAGACCATAATTCCACAACCATACATTATTTCCAGTCTTGTTGCGGCCCCTCTCTTCAAGATAGACATAAATCTCCTAGATCGAATGCAAGGATGGAAGACCAAGTTAATAATAGATCTAGAACATGGATCAAACGGAGATAAATATCGTTGAGCTACAGGAGAATAAAAATCCACTCCATCTAAAAGAGAGGAAATCCAAGAGTATAGTGAGTTTTCATATATAGGCGATGGAAGCTCTTGAATAATATCTCTAGTTCTTGATATCTTCGAAAAGGAAGTATGGCGGTCTAGCCATCACATTTTTATTATCATCTCTGGGTTGCAGGCGTTCTATAGTTTTGTGCTCAACAATTCGTATATATGAGTGCACATCAACGAAAATATTATCAATGGAGAGTTACTGATTGTGCAAACAAAAGTGAGGAAAGTATGGTCGGGTGAAGATATTGACTACGTCTTTTAAGTGTTATGGGCATATAGAGTGCGTCATTCAGAGTTAAATAAATTGACGATGGTTCTCCTTTGAAAGCATATATAGGAAAATAGCTAGACGATCTTCGCAACACTTATAGTTGCAACAAAGCGGAACAATTTCGTGTGTTGAACTTAAAAAAGACGCAGATAATACTCCTTCACTACTAAAAAAACCAGAGATGCATTTTGGACATGCAATGAAGAAAACAAGGAGCATGAACTCACTCTCACACAGTCGGTTATATCACTTGATGCTTCCAGCTAGTAGTCTATATATTAGAATTAGTAAAATAGATTAAAAATTGTTTTTGTGAATTTGTCTGTTTAATTATTATCTATTTTGAAGTCTCATTTACGTACAACTTCCCGAATTTTGTTATTTACAACACGCAAACACGGAAGCTAGTTAACTGATGAGTTCTTCTTATCTAACATTTACTGCTTTCAAGGGCGAAAGGCGGCAAGCCTTCAAATATGTTTATACTGTTGTTTCCTGTTTACATTTTGTTGCTTTTCTACGAGAATGGTTAGTTTTTATCGTTGTCTAAGTATTTAGTTATTTCACAGTATATTTTGCATAATACTATCGAGAGTAGACTTCTCTAGATTATTTACAGGAAAAAGAACTTTTTAAAAATAGTAATACATTCACATTGTCCGGAAACCTAGTTGTATATAAAACTGCTTTCAAAATAATTCGCATGAACCCATACAAAAGCTATTCAAATCTTTAAAAATTTGGCTATGGGAAGACACCGTTGTTTCAATTATGTTTCACCTAGGCAAGTGTGAAGCATTTCCAATTACTCCAGGTGTACCAGTTAAAACGTGATTGTCTAGATAGTCTATTTGTGTCACTAGAAAAAATGAAAACCTACTGCTTTACCCCTACGGTAGGTGTACCTACGGCTATAGTCATTTTCATTAAGATGACCACAAGTTTGAAACTTCGATTAAAAAAGGGAGATTTTACCATCGGTTATGGATCATATTTTAGTTTAATATGTGTTCGGCAAATGATCAGATATAACAATGTAAATACATATAATAAATGCAGGATATATGGAGTGAATTGCCTGTTTCAGATGTGTCAAAATTCTAATTATACTATGTAGCATCACATAGAATTCGAAAATGTTTTGACATAAATTGTTTCACCGTATCATTGGATATGCACGCAGATTATGACATACTCTATTTTTGAAGTCGTAAAAAACAACTATTATAATCAATAACAGTTTGCAGAAAATGAAGTTGTGCCTTATTGAATTGTTGTGAAGTAGAATTTACAGAACTATACAGAGTATGAAACATATTGCGCCTATTGCTAATAACTTGTCTAAAAGAATACTTGTGGCTTTTATACTATAGAGAACCTACACAAATTTTGATGAAACTCGATTCCTTGAACAATAATTTTGATTTTTGAGTTCGCAACTTCACATCATAATATTACTTCATTATAACGTACTTCTCAAGTAAGGTGCACGATAGGAGTTATTTACATCATCATTTACTACTAAAATGGTTTATAGGTAAATTGTTTTCTTCCAGAGATTTTGGTAAACCGATCTTGCCAGGTATATTAATTGAATAATTTTGTATACTTGAATTTTCTAACCTATTAGAAGTATTGGCTATTCGATGTTATCAGTGCGATAGTAATGAAGATGATTCGTGTCCAGCCGGAAGATTTTTCGATACTAGACTTAATGCAATGATAGATTGTGGTAGTTTTTTATCACATTCACCTGGAACATTTTGTGTAAAAATTTATCAAGAAAGCACTGGTTGGCATTCATGGATAAAAGTCACACGGACTTGTGGTGCACGAACTGACTATGGTGAGATATTTAAAATCTTATGTTAAAGTAATTTGCCTCATTGAATTGCCTCAACTTACCTTCGATGTTCAGTTACAAGTCTATGAACTCTAATTTATGTGTAAAACTTAGAAACAGTTTTATTATTAACCTCCTTCCTTGAAATCTGAATTTAAAAATGAGGAATGCCCAAGCGCTCGTAAGTTTACGGACCTTCTTAATTGCCCATAATTCTAATATGGGGAGGTAATAATTAAGATTGATAGTGAGGGAGTGATCTCATTGATATGTATATGACTCATGGTTTCCATATCTTTAAATGAACCATAATCATGTTTCTTTAACGTCTGCAGACTGTAAGACAATACTCCTTATTTGTTTGATTATGGAAAATGTGTAAACTCTACTCAACGTCTGTTTTGTGATGAGAAATAAGTTTTGAATCACATCAAATCTACACTTGTTTGATGTCTTTGCATGGTTTTAAGGATTCGCTTATGTATTTGAAATAAAATGTTTTGTACATGGACAGTTGGATTTTAGAAAAGATAATCATTGTTTCATGAAATAATATATGTGATAATAACCGTTATTGCGGATTTAACAAAATTTAATGTCCATAGCCTAATAAAAATCACTATTAAATGTAACGGGGTAGGTTACAGCTACATGAAAAACATATACTTGTGTTTTAGGATATTATCACCAACTTTTGGTACTATCGCTCAAATATTTTTACAATTAGTTCTCGAAACTGGATTTGACAATAAATGGCAAAAAGCGAATGTTCTGAATTCTCAAAGTTCTATTAAAAGATGTCGAGACCAACTTATAGAATAGTTTTTTTGAAAAGTCATACTGCTCGTAAACTAAGACAGATGTATTTTGAATCCAAAAGTGACATTAAAAGCAAGTTGATCTTTCGGAACCACTCTCAACCGATTTATGCATTGTACCCTGTTGAAAACGTGACGGGTGAGATTATTTCGTAAGTTAAGTACGCGGAATTTATGTCAGTAATACATCATAGGGATTTGGATGTGACTTGATTTTTACAGCGACTTAATAACGTAGTAAAAACATGTACTGACCAATGAGACATATTTTTTTATTGGAAAGATGATTCTGATATCAAACGATCACTTGTAGGAGTCCGTCTGGACTGGTCAATACTTCAGCTTCCACAATTGTTTCTATCGCAATACAAGTGCAGAGTAGTAAGGTGCTTCTTCATTGGATTGCAACAAATCTGCATTTGAGATATGATTGAAGTATATACTAAGACTGTGACCGGAGAAGTGGTAATAAAAAAAGTGCTCGTTGACGTTGATAAGTTGGAATGTAAGTCATTTACCATCACAACTCCGTTACTCATTTTCAAAAAGTTTATATTACGTTGCCATAGTCTTGAAACGGAGATCAAGAACAGCTTTTGAGAGAAAAAACAATATGCTGTCAAATGAGCTGTCGTTGAAAAAGAAGAATTCATCGTCCCAAGTAGGCTTCAAAAGCATATAAATTAATGCTTCATATCCCAATGGATTTGCCAACCTATTTGTGTGTGAAGACATTCATATGTCGAAATAGGAAATATAATAACGCAGTCAGTAGTAGTGAGACATTTGCCTATTAGTTAAATTCTGTGTTTCTAACATTTAAATTAGTTATTAACTTTTCAAATTGTACAGAAAAGCAGCCTTTCATTCGAAATGACTTTTATTTTAGGTTTAGCCTGGAGCTGTCGTTATTGGTTTGAAGCACAAGGTGTTTACAAAGAAGTCTGCTACTGCCAAGACAGAGATGGTTGTAATAAAGCCACAACACTATTCATGAATAACAAAGTTATTTTACTCTTGACACTATTTTTATGTTTTATTTTATCAACAAAATCGATTTTTTTGTAAATAACCGTTTATCAAGCTATTCAAACTTTATATTGTATATCATTTGGCTTTTAGGTTACTGTAGAGATTTCAATTTCTTAGACTTCAAAACATTTAATATATTTATAAAAACTGTAAATCAGTTCATAAAGTTTTAAAATTTCATCAGCTGATGATGTTAAGATATATGCTATACATATTCAACCACTAGATCCATTAACATACTTTGCCGAAAACCATGAAAATAGGTTTTTAGAAGGATTCATATAGTCATATCTGAATGTGTCATTAGCTCATGAAGTTATTGAATTTAGATATGAAATTTCATTATAGAATGCTACGGAGTTTTTTGAATCTGAAATTTCACACCACGTATTAAATTTGGTTGGACAATCATTAAAAACCTCAAAGAAACTTGACAGATGTTTCGTCAAAATTTGGGACTTCGTAACAGTGAAGTCACGCTCATTCCAATGATCGAATCCAGCACTTCAGGCATCGCCTAATTTCTCATTGGTTCACATTCCTAATAACAATCAATTTGTATTATTACCTGATTGTCATTAAATGTAATTATTTATGTCATACCTGACGTCGGAAAACTTCATCGATTACTTCAGCAATTTTCTATTAACGTTATACATTTATCACCACATGACAATCCCTGTTATTGTGTTGCGGTGATTTTGAATGTAACAACTGTGATATATCGTCAATGGCGATGATTGAACAGTTAAAACTTCGCGGATAATCTCGGCTAACAATTCATTATTTGATGGTTGATTTTGATAATTTGATCATAGTGTAAGCATTTCAAATTTAACAAGAAAATGAATTCAATACTTGTATTTGAGAATACTTTATTTCATGGAGTTCGACCTAATAGAGAAAAGATAACCAGTTTGAAATACTGGAAAAATATATAAACTGATGATTAATCAGTTTATGTTATCTGTCTATTTATTGTTGTCATGTCTTCCAGGATGGGAGAATAACATAACACACCCAACATGCTCATCACAAGCTAGAGGTATTCTCCATGGTCTCCAACTTGTTAACTAAATGCACGAACTGGTATATGATGAAACGTTGGTTGTACAATATTCAAATCATAGAAATTTGAGGCTTTTCCTAAAATTTCATTATTCTGCCGGTTTTGAAATGCGTTATCTACTTGGAAAAAGCTGTTGGTAAGGTCATAATTTATGGACGGACCAGTCACTAGACCTTAGCGCAAAATCCATCTATTCATATGACTGAATAACATTTCGACACTATATCTGTCAGTTCGCAGTGAAAAGTCTAACTCTAATTTTTAACACTAACGTCTAACTTTAAATCATAATCCTAGCTCCACACACTAAATTGCAGCCTTCTCTTGACCCCAGTAAATAGGTGATTATTAGAAAGTCCACTTTAGCATCGCATAAAGGTTTTCGATAAATCATAGTCTCATCAAGTTATTTTCTTTAGTGAATTATCTTAATAAATAGCTCTCAGGACTAATTGAGGCTTTTCCAAGTTTCATCGAAAATATTAGTATGTTCATCCACACACCTACTTCGAAGTATACAGAAGTATATCACAAATCTCTTCAACAGTAAATGAAATAAATATGTTAGGGGCTACATTAATTTATGTATTTCTGAAGATACATATGACGATTCTTCATGAAATTGACATTCTGTATACTACTGTTTCTTACCTCCACATAAACAACTATCTGACTAATGTAGACATTAAATAATGAGGTGTAGGAAGGATTTGAATGTGACCGACTTGGTCTCAAGTGCTGTTACGGGTATGAAGGCTGATAGCACTTCCCGGCTGCCCACACCGTGGAAGGGTATTTCTTGGGGAACCTGAAAAGGAAGTCGGATTAATGTCGGTCTTAACGACCTGGGAGCGTGACCGCAGAGCCCAGGGGATAACTGCTTGAGACCGGTCGCGCACAGCCTTTTTGTGTGGAGGGGTCGACGTATTAGCTCCGTTCTTCAAAAGGCCTTACCGCCGGAGACGGAAATCTGTGAGGTAAGGTGTGACATTTTTAGGGTCGACCTTTTCTAACCCCTTCCTTCCTTGTGAGAAGGTAGCATCGCTGTAGATGCTGGTTGTCTGAGGGCAACACCTTACTTCTGTCACACCCCTCTACAGTCAGCAGTACGACTTCGCCCTCAGACCTTGAGTCACTGCTTTCAGTCTTACCGTTCTCCAAACCAAAACATGGCAGAAGTCCATGAAGTCACTGACAAGTGAACTGAGTCATGTTGGTAGGTGTAGACTACCTGGTTGGGGACCGCGAGATGACAGCAACCGATGGTTAGAGACCCTGAATGACATGGCTCAAAATCGTTTGCAATGGCGCAGGTGCATCCACTCTCTGTGTTCTCCTAAATTCTAATCTTCTGAATTCTTCATGTCCCTTTTTTCCTCTTTCCAAATTTATTTCACTGGATTATACTCTTTAAATAACATCTCCAAACCCTAATCTTCCCGATTACTGCATATACTCTTATTACCTCTACCACTACGGGATTTGAATCGACAAGTGCATCTCTGTGCTAATGTGGTGTGGCAACTCGAACTGATGTACGTACGTACGAAGTTCTACGTTGTTACTGACTGACTGACTGTTCTCCAATCGACCTGCCTGGCATGGCAGAACCTACAGGAGCGTATGTTCCAGCCAATATAGCTCGGTTGGGTCATCACGATGGGCGAGCCCGACCACCGCGTCAAGGTAGAAACTTCGGTCGGGTCATTAAGTAATGATAGCTGCTAGATTCATATCTTTTAATTCGATTTCGGTTTTCATAACTGAAACATAATTGAAATTAAATTCACGTGTTGAACTATGGATTCTCAAAATTTTTATCGTCTATTTCATGTAATTCGTTGTTGTTAAATACGGAAACGTGGATTTGTGTAACTTATTTATTTATTTGAAAACATAAATATTGGTGTACAAATGGGCACCGACTACATATACACCACACAAATCATTTGATTTGTGCGTAGATTATGATACTGCCCGTGTGATCAGACTGAAGGAGATGGTTTTCTTAGGGGTCCACACCCCGAGCCTTCGACTTAAAGGTCTAATCCACAAGGTGGTAGAGCAATGTAAGGCGATTCAGTCCCATGCTAGCAAGTGATTAACAATTGGTTCATACGCCTTTGGTTCCCTCAGGATACTGGAGCCCATGTGCACCATTCATTTGTAATCAGGGTTTTCCCCTAGGTGGACCATCCATGTCCATCAACCCGGTTAAAGCACCGGACATTCGCTTCTTTTCCTCTCAATTTTGTAAACAACACTCCCACCGTGAGAAGGCAATTGGTAGGACTGCCCTGGCAGTGGCTGTATACGCGTGGCCATGTGAGAGCATTTCGACAGGGAGAGGTAAATCTACCGCCCTCGTTCGTACTAGGACATTTGGGTGAGGATTTGTGTAAAGGTTTTACATAATTGGTGGTGTTTTGTTCCATGAGCTCAGAGAACAAAACACCACCAAAATCATCCACCTGAGCTACAAATCTTCTCCACCATCTCAAAGGTTTTACATAATAATGAATATAAGCCATATAATCTATCACAAGTCTTTGCTCATGAACATTCAGTGCATCGAAGAAGAATTGAACGGTATACACTACAAATGTGAAACTGGCTTTTTTTTTAAGAAAAAATTTTGTTCTTAAGTTAGTTGTTGAATTAATATTGTCTCGTTTAGAAACCATATTTGTGACACACGTACAACTCATCATAAATTACATTCCATGCTGAGAACGTCTAAGTTTATAAAGTTTCATTAATTTGGTCGTAAATACTCATTCAAAAAGTGAACTATTACAACCTGTTAACTCATTCAGTTAGCACCATATAATTCAATTGCAACTAAATTCTTATGATACAAAAGTTTCTAGCTTCATCCGATTCATGTTATATAATATACTATGTACTACTAATAATAAGTAGTTTGTGTCATACTTAAAACTTCATTATGTGAATTTTTTGGCGAGACTATAATTTACGGACCAAGCAACCAGGTATAGGATAACACATCTCGGATTTTGACGCGAAATTCACTGATCCATTTGGTTAAATAGAGTCTTGGCATTTTAGCTTATATCAATTCATGATCAAAACCCGAAATTTAATTCCTAACCTTAATCATCAATTGTAAATTATAATTCCAATTCCTCATACAGGTTTATTACCGTCATTTGGCCCTAGTTGTTAAATGGACATCGTCAAAGTCAATCTAGCGTCGCTCAAAGGTCGTCCATAAATTATAGCCTCACTGAATTTTTCATATGTATTACATTCCGAAATAATATTCTAACTTGAATGATTTCCTTATTTTCAAGTCTAATCATTAAAAAATTGTTATATCCTGATGAATATAGTGAATAGTGCCTTTGGAACCCATTTATGGACCAATACGATACGTATATTTTTATCGTATCATTGTTAAGTAACTAAACTATTCATGTCCCTCTTATCGTAAGTTTTATTTTGACCTATGAACTATTATTATACGACTTACCGTTCTTGAGATATGTCCAGTCTATCAATTACGATCTCCCATATTCACAGTTACTTTAGGCTAAATCTTGTACAAATGTTGTTTCCTATTTTATGGCACGATGTAGTCTGTTTGGTTGGTATATAAACCTAGTATATTTGAAATACATGATTCATATCGCAGAGGCTGAGATTGGTGTTCTGGACTTGACAGCTGGGGCTAGACAGTAAGCAAGATCAATAAAGACTCTAGAATGCTCGTACGTGTTTTATGCGTCATTGGTCCGGTCAACAAATCACTGTTCTCTAATTGGCGGTGTCATGACGTTCTACATTAATAGTACACAGGGCACAAGTTATAACAAAAATGTTCAATGACCAATCAGTATGCTTTTGACAATGGAGTAGTTTGGCACTTTTCATTTCATGGTAGGGAGATAACACATCAGAAACATGTATGACTACCCTTAAGGTAGGTCATGGTTTCAAAACTACC